TATGTGTTCCGGGGCCGTCCATTTGGTATTGGATAACCACTGGTGCTCGTCCCCAGGGAAGACTATTTCTCAGGCTCTTGGCGTTCTTTGGTTGCCTATGGTTCTTTGTGGAGAGCTGAAGCCTCTTGGGCTTTCTGCTGCCCATGTTAGCCTGTTTCATTATCATTGTCCCTCAGCTCGTGTTTAGGTAGTCACGTTGGTAGGACGTTATGGGTGTAACTATTTCATATTGCTCAAACTCGTGAGTTTCCGTGAACTGTCTCCCTAAAGGTAAAGGATCTATGGTGCATTGTCAAAACCTGCACGGGTGATTCCATCGTGTCACCTGCTGAGGGCTACAGTGCCTGATAATCTCTCAACTTCCTTCCAGCACAGAAGGCTTACTGGTGTTTATTTTGAAGGGCTGCATGGCAGCACATAGCCACTAGGTGGTGGTAGTGTGCCACAATCCAATGTTGTGGGATCGTTGTATGCTATGTGAAGACATATCGCTGTGATTGGTTTAATAAAGAGCTGAATGGCCAATAGATAGGCAGGAGGTATAGGCGGGACTTCTGGGCAGAGAGCGAGGAAGTTGGAGATGAGTCTAGGTGTGTGAGAGACATGAGGAGACACAGAGGAAGTAGTACATGACAGAACATAGATTAATAGAAATAGGTTAGTTTAAGTAGGTTCTAAAAGCTAAGGCCAAGATTTCATAATAAGTCTGTGTCATTATTTGTGAGCTGGTAGTCCAAAGAAAAATCTGACTACAGTCTAAACATCTCCTACCCGAGGTAGATCATGGTGACTTCACTCAAGCCCACCATGTCTGGAATGAAACCTCTCGGTGTTCTGGCATGCCTTTTGGTACTAGTAAAATTGAACAACGATGTAGTTAATGTCTTTCTTGCCTTCAGTGCTGGCTCTGTGGTACACATTCCCCTCAAAGCTTTGTCACAGGCTGCTCAGCCTCAGGAACTCATGTCTCAGAGGGACCTTCTCTAGGACATCTCCAAGCAGACAGAATCCTGCTTCTCACTCAGAAATGTGATGCTTCTACATTAAAAAATGCGGAATCAAAAAAATTTAAAAAAAAAAAAGAAACAAGGAACCTACTAAGCTTTCTTCTGTTTCCTTCTCACTTCTAATTCTCTCCTATATATTCTTTTGGGTTTTTTTGTTTGTTTGTTTTTTGAGACAGGGTTTCTCTGTGTAGTTTTGGTGCCTGTCCTGGATCTCGCTCTGTAGACCAGGCTGGCCTCGAACTCACAGAGATCCACCTGCCTCAGCCTCCCGAGAGTGCTGGGATTAAAGGTGTGCGCCAACGCTGCCCGGCTCTCTCCTATGTATTCTAAAGCTTTACTTATTTTACTGGTATAACTTCCTCAACATTAAACTGCTTAGAGATCCCCCAAGGAACAATGAAGAGGTCTTTAAAGAAGGCCAGGGCTGAGCAGATGGCTCAGCGAAGCATTTGCCATGTAAACATGAGGCCCTGCGTTCAATGCCATGTTAAAAGCCAGGTGTGATTGCATGCATGCACTTGTAATCCCTGAGGAGAGAAGAGGGATGGGGTGGAGACAGGCAGATATTCAGGGCTGATGGTGAGCCAGCCTGGCCTAATCATGAGTTCTAGGTTCAGTGAGAGACTCAGTTTCAAAAAAACAAACAAAAGTCGAAGGTGGACAGCACCTGATGAGCAGGGTATGCACAGGTAACACACACCGGGGAAGCAAAGGACTCATCTCTCTGAAAACGCAAAGTTCAGTTTGGCTAAGTCATTGCAGCCTCCTCAGACTCTCCCTAGAAAGCTACACCGGACCCCTCCCATAGGGAAGAGGATATTTCTTCTTGAGCACAGGGCTCTGTTGTCTTCGCCCAAGACAATGGCCTCTTCCTGCTTCTCAGCTCTGCCCTGTCACAGCTGCTGAGCAGGCCTGTGCTTGACAGACTCAACTGAAGAGTAAATGTGAGGTGAAGAGGGGGTGTGTGTGAGGGCTTGCTCTCCCAAATCCTTCTCAGCTGCCACATCTGAGCAGACAGCTTGGAAGCCAGTCGTGAGCTCCAGGATTGCTGCCACCAACCCTAGATCCATAGAATACTGCATCAATCACCCTTGTAATCAATCCACGAGCCGATTTACTCAGACGTCCTTAATGAGAGTGACTCTGAGACCTTGCCCGGAGTTTCTTTGCCCTTCACTCTATGAATGAGCCCGAGTGATCGCCATATGGCTGCGGTAGGTAAGGTGAACCAAAGGAGACAGACTACTTCTGGGCAGAGGGAAGGAGACGATGGACTTCAGAGGCCCATTTCTCACGTGACTCCTACCCCACCTCAGCGGCAGTTGTAGACCCTGATTTGATAAGATGCTTGGGCAGTGGCAGCCCTGGGCCAGCTCAAGGAACAAATCTAAAGGGAAATGTTGATTTCAGAGTCAATTTACCAGTGTATACCTTGGCTTTGGACACTCATATAATGGTGGGCCTCGATGAGAATGGCTGGGGTGGGAGGGGGAGGGGTTCTTTGACAAATCGTGGAAGTGGGGAAACAAAAGAGATGAGAGTGTTCTGGAAAGCAGCCTGGAAAATCCCTGACCAGACTTCCTGTCATGCTGGAGGTGGGATTTTGAGCAAGTCACACCATCGAGAGGCTTTAGTACCTTTACCCTTCATACAAATAAATAAAATGAAAGAAATAAAGAGGGGGTGGACAGTGGCTGAGTCTTAGGACGGCGGTAAACACTCAGCTCAGACAGAGACTGAAATGAACACCCCTGCAGGTGACCTCTTGGTATGTTTTTAAATATGTTTTCTTGGCTTTTAAGAAAACTTTTTCTCACTCCTTTTTTACCAAGGACCACACACACACACACAGGACTTTAAATATTTTGACAAGGGACTGCTTTCCAAGACACTGGCCTTGCTACAAACAGATTAAAAGAGCTAAGGTAACGTGCGTCTAACTTACATGACTTGGTCCACACAGACCCCAGTTACCACCCGAGCAGCACATGAGGCCAGGGGCAGTGGATTCCCAGTGCCTTGCACGCCTGTCCACATGTAGAGTAATAATCAGAAAGCAAAGAGAAAAGAAGAAAATTAGAGTCACTCATGGGCCTACTAGCCAAAACCAGCAATTCTTTCCATTTAGGGGCATAATTTTCCTTCATTTTTTTATATCAAATGTGTGATGTTCTCGAACTTGCAAACTGGATTACCTAGGTTTAGTTCTTTAGCCAATTTTATCACCTTTTTATATTAACACTGTTTCTGAAACATGATTTTCAGTGGTACCCAACTCCATTGGGTAAGTCTGTACTAGAACACATCAGTCATGTTAGGCAGCTAGTGCTCTCAAGAGCCTCCTTCTGGATGAATCTTTGTACCATTTCTCTGGTGGTCCTTTAATGTTTATTCCTTAAAAGATTCCTGACTTACAGGACAAGCACATTTTGTTTCTGTTCTTAACAATTCTAATATAGTAGCCAAATTGGCCTCTGGAAAAATCTGTTGGCAGAAGCATATCACTACTATTTTGACATTACCTGGTCCATTCTTCCTTTACTCCCTGACCCGTCAATGTCCCCTTGGGTGGAGTCATCTGTCTTTTGCCCAGCTTACAATGCCATTGAAAGAAAAAAATATATAGATATGCATGCATACACATACACACGCATATGTATGTATAGATATACATGTATACATATATGTGCAGTGCATATGCATACATCTCCAATGCCTCTGGAAGTTAAGAAATATGCTTCTAAGTAGCACGTGTGTTGCATAAGAAATCTACAGCAGATTAGAACACATTTTCAAGAAAGTGATAGTGGAAATACTGTGGGTTGCTGCTAAAAGATCACTAAAGAAAAGCCTGCACATTTCAGTCCCAATACTGAAAATCAGGAAGTTAATAAACACACAGCAAAAACAGCATCCTTGAGGTCAGCAGCTTCCTCATGTCTTTGCACACCCTCTCATTTCCCACACAGCACTCAACACAAATGAGAAAGCCCATGATCACAACGCCGGACCTGTCAAATCCTAAAGGCTTTGATTCTAAACACTGCTGATTCTCAACCACTGAGGATGGAGAATTCCCCGTGCAACTGATTTTAAAGTAGTCAAACCAAGTGTCATCCAACTGTTTCACCAACAGGTTCAGACTTAGGGAGTGAGAGATGCCTAAATGGCCCGAGACTTGAGTGGCAGAGAGAAAACTCCAACACCACAGCACACCCAGACTGCAGCGCGCTGAGTGCAGCCACGTTTTCCTTAATGTTGGGCAGCCTGGAGAAATGTATACTTTACCAAAAAGTGTTTTGGAGGCTGGGGAGATAGAAGACTTCATGGGTTAGAGCATTTGCTGCATAAGGATGAAAACCTAAGTTTGAATCCCCAACACTCACACAAAAAGCCAGGCACAGCCATGGGGACTGTGGGGAACAGAGAATGGAGGATTGCCAGGGCTTGTGACATGACAGTCTATTTCCAGGTACAGAGAGACCCTGTTTCAACAAATAAAGTAGAGAGCGAGAGCAGGACATCTGATGCCCTCCTTTGGCCTCCACAGCACACACGAGCACACTCATGCATACGCGCATGTGCATGCACACACACACACTTGTGTGTACACCTCCATACATGCACCCCAAAAAAAGGTATTTTAGAGATAGGTTAAAGGCAAATCATTTGGTGTCATCCAGTAAGCACAGTTTTTTTTTGTTTTGTTTTGTTTTTTGATCAGCCGGATCATGTGTCTTTTACACAGTCAACTGGGTGGAAGTTAAGGAAGTTTTGCATGTGTAAGGGATAGAGGATTAGACTCTGGGGGTTAATTTTACTCAAGGAAAAAGAAGCGACTTTAATTTCATTAATGGTCTCCTGGACGATTCTGCTCCAAGCTTATCCCTCCATTAAATATTAATTTAATGGTGCCCAGTGCTTAGCCCACGGCCTTTGGCATCCCCACTGGAACGGACACTAACCTGTTCCGTATTTACAACTGAATCACAGGGCTTTTTCAGGAGAAGTCAGCAGAGCAATGCCACCTACTCCTGTCCTCGTCAGAAGAACTGTTTGATCGATCGAACCAGCAGGAACCGCTGCCAGCACTGTCGGCTGCAGAAATGCCTTGCCGTGGGCATGTCTCGAGACGGTGAGCCTCTCAGAGCCGGCGTGGGGCAAATGCGTGGGGCTGGGCAAGCACTCCTGAAACGTGGGCACTGCTCCATCAGGGGAAGCCCTCTCAGTCTTCCCGGGTCCCCCTGGCAGCTTTCTGCAATCCACAGCACTTCCTGCAGTCAGCTGACTAGCTGATGGGGACAGACATACAGAGTAGTGTCTTGTAGTGAGAAAACCTTCAGATTGCCAACATTTCACAAACGACAGGTATGTGTCATCTGAGGGCTTTCAGAAACACGCCTCCTGCAGGAAACCCAAGCCAGGACAAATGAAGTAGACTTAACGCTGGTAAGTCTACGGGCATTTGGCAGGAAACAGTTCTTCTGGTAACTGGGTCAAAGTCAAACATTTGCCGCTTTCAAACATGTGAAAATAGTGCAAAGCGAGGCTCAGTGACAGATGTCCTTTTTCATTAAGAGAAGGCATAAGGACTAGAAATGGGCCAGTGTCCAGTTACAGAGCACCTCAGCATCCTCCCTGAAACTGATCTTAAGTGCACCAAATAACCAACAGCAGGATTCAAGACAGTTACGCATGGACCTGGGCAGGAAATGCAGCAGGTCCGTTTTAAGGGCTTTTCCGAGTACACTAGCTGACTGTCTCCAGAGATCTCCTTGGATGGAGAGTCAGCCTGCCCTTCCCACCATCAGATGTTCTTAGGACCCGGTGGAGCCACCCAGGCTCAAGTTCATTTTCATTCCATATTCTGCAAGTCTACCCACTACTAGAGAGGTCAAGCTTTATGCCACTGGGGACAGGCATCAACTCAGAACCCACACTAAGTCCGTCTTCCTACAGCATTAAACTGACAGTTAGGTATGGCTCTTATCAGCTTGTCAGTTAAAACTGAAAGTTATACATGCATTTCTTTGGGTGCTGGTCATTTTTCCCTCCTCACTAGATACAACTGTCATTTTATTAAGACGAAAGCTAAAGCATAATTACGGAGTCAGAGACGTTTTACCCATGGGGGTGTTCTAAAATATTCGTTGCCCCTCCCCAAATTAAAAACCTTCAGAATGGCTTCTTACATGTAGGTTGTTGTGAGGAAGAAAATGTATTCAGAGGTTTATAAAATTATATGCCTGTTTGGCGTCCAGCCCCACCTGAGCTGGAGAAGCTCCGAGGTTGTTGGTCTTCTCGTCTGTTCCTCTGTGTGAAGGACAGGACATCCTCCCCTGGCGAGAAGAGTCCACCAGCTGGTCAGTGGAGTGGGCTCTCGGCTCCCAATTTCATTTTCATCTCCCCTGCCTTCTGCCCCCATGTCACTGGCAGTGGTGGGATAAATGAGTTCATCCCCCCAGTCAGGAATCAGTTAAACTACTATCACTTAGGAGAGTGAAGTCCCTCCAGCAGAGGCTACATCTGCAGAGTAACTAGGCAGGGAGGAGGAGGGAAAAAAAAGAGGAACCTCCATGGGAGAATTCAACCCAGGAAAACGGTTTCCTGTTGCCTAGATGAGTGTCTCGGGAGCAAACACCTGAGGTAGTGAACTGGGAGCCGCTACAGCCCTGCCGCCTTTCACCTGGAGGACGGGTCCTGAGCACCAGTGCTGCAGCCACAGACCATCCCCGGGGATCTTACAAGGCCTGCCCTCCGCTGTCCTTTTTTACCTGAGGCTAAATGATTGCAAAGGATCACTTCATGGTGGACCCAGTTCAGACCCAGGGCTGTGTGCCTTAACTACTTGGGAGGCAGAGAGAATGACCCCCTTGCACCTGGGAGTTCAGGGCCAGCCTGGGCAACACAGTCAGATGACCCCAACCAACTCCAACAAGAAAATAAAGACAGGCCCATGGCGGCCAGGAGATCTCCTAAGTCAGGCAGATTCAGACATACAATTCTGCATACTCGACAACCTCCCCATAAAGCCCCAGAACTAGCTAGCCGCTCGAGCAGGAAGAACTTCATTCTTGTGTACGGACTAGAACACTTAGTAAAGGATGAGGCTTCTGCCTCAGCATACCCCGGAAGCCTTTACCTCTCTGCCTCTCTGTCCAAACACTGCAAAGTAAGGGGCAGGTCTAGGCCAGGCCATGTGATAGAGAATGAACAAACCCATTAAACTGTACTTCAGAGCCAGGTTTGGTGGAGTATGCCTATAATCCCAACACTTAGGAGGCTGAGGCGGGATGTTCAGCAGTTCAAGGCCAGTCTGGGCTACTTAGTGAGACCCTGTCTCAAAAGGGTGGGGGGGGGGGGAACAAAACATTATATCCTCAGTGAGTCTAAGGGTATAAGACTGCAGCGAAACAAAGAGAAGGTTGCCTGGGATGTATGTTGGAGGCATGTGAGGAAGCCTGTTCTTGCTTTGTGGGTGACCTGCTTTTGTGCTGACCTGCTCTGAGATTTTCTGGAAACCCAAAAGCTTGGGAAAGAATAAGGCTGCCTGGTTCAAGGTACACTTTGCTCTCTCTCTTCCAGCTGTCAAGTTTGGCCGGATGTCCAAGAAGCAGAGAGACAGCCTATATGCTGAGGTGCAGAAGCACCGGATGCAGCAGCAGCAGCGAGACCACCAGCAGCAGCCTGGGGAGGCTGAGCCGCTGACGCCCACCTACAACATCTCAGCCAATGGGCTGACGGAACTGCATGACGACCTGAGCACCTACATGGACGGGCACACCCCCGAGGGCAGCAAGGCCGACTCTGCCGTCAGCAGCTTCTACCTGGACATCCAGCCCTCCCCTGACCAGTCAGGACTGGACATCAATGGGATCAAACCTGAACCCATATGTGACTACACACCAGCATCTGGCTTCTTTCCCTACTGCTCCTTTACCAATGGAGAGACTTCCCCAACTGTATCCATGGCGGAACTAGGTAATGGCGGGTGTGCATGCTGCCTCTGGTTGCTCTGGGCCTGCCCTGTGAAGTAAAAGGGGTACAAGAGACTGTCCTCTGAAGGCTGGGATTTCCCCTCCAGAGGGGAATTTTGCTGCTGATTCAGAGGCCAGCCTTGCTGTGTGATTGTTCCTATGGTGTTTGCAGTAAATGTTTTGCTCAGGCACTAGTCAGGGTGTATGTAAGCAGCCTGTGTCCCACAGCGCAAGGCCACTCAGACGAGTTATTCACTTAGACTCCAGGTATTCCTTTATGCCTAAGGTCACACACATACACAAAGTCCACTAACCTAATCTGAGCCATAGGTATATTTTTGTAATTTTAAAGTTTTTAATTGGTTGCTAAAATTTTTACATTTTTAACTGACACCTAACAACTATGTATAATCATGAAGGACAGTGTGGCATTTCAATACATGTTCACATGGAGTAATCATTGACTAAGGGCATTTAGCAAATCTGTGACTTTGGACACTTAGCATTGATTTGTAGTGAGCATTCAGAACCCTCCTTTCTAGCTTTTTCAAAGGGAAGTCCACATTACCATTCTCGGAGCCGCCCTCCTGTGGGGCAGCACACCACAGTTCGCTCCTCTCATGACCCCAACTGTACCGTGTGTCTGTTAGCCATTCTCTAACACAGTCTCCCTGCTCGACTTGAACACATATAACAAAAATCAGTTTGTCAGCTCTTTTTTTGGAGATTTAATTTTTTTTTCATTACATTGGACCAATATTTGTGAACCCCAGTAACCAACCGGTACCGGTTGGGGAATGACCCATCTGGTGCGCCCCGCAGGTAGCCAAGCTTTGCTGCGCTGGTGTGAACTGTAAGTGCCTGAGGTGACGTAGCTCTGAACTTGCCAAAATGTGTTGAAGAGGACCAATCAGTTTTTTGGTGACCAAACTGATAAGGTTTTATATAGGGCTCACTTTGCCAAAATAACGACCAAACACTCACTTCCTTATTGTTTTCCTCTTGGGAGATGATGACCTAGAAACACTGATAGCCAGACAAATGGAAACTTTCCCTTCGTGTGTGTTATGCTAACACCCTCTGCTATATTTAATCAATTTTTTTAAATACGGTGCTATTATTAGAAGAACTTTGATAAGAGCCTTCGCAGTGGTTGAATGATCTGCCATTGCCAGCGTTTCTACACGGGGTCATTACAGTCCTTTGGGGTATTTCAATTAGCTGCTGCGGAGACCAGCGCGCTCCGAGGGAGACCCGGGGTGGCAAAGAGCCAGCCGCTCTGACTTGAGCACAGACGTCCTCGGTGCACAGCCACAGAGGCCGTGTTCTTTAGATGGTGCCTCCACCTCTGTACCCCATAAAACATCCCTTTTAAGTGAAAATTGATATTTCCAGTTAAAAATCCCCAAATAGAACAACTTGAATGTTCTTTACAGTTTTTACACAAGCATCTCTTTCTGGATCTAAATTTAAATCCTTGGGAGCCGGGGCATTTAAGCCTGCTTTTTAACCACTGTACAGTACTGAAGGTGCACCACTGCTCTTTTGATTAGCAGAGAAACCTCTGAAGTAAAAGTCATGCTGAGCAGAGGTAGGTTTGATTTTTTTTTTTTAATTTTTTTTCCCCAAACTAGAACAAAAAACTTTTTCTTTTCCTTTTTTTTTTTTTTTTTTTTTTTTTTTGGTCATGGAATCTTGGTTGGCTGAGCCTGAAGCAAAACTGTAATGAAAATTAAATTTTCAAAAATGAATAAGGATTTGATTGAAAGCCAACAAAGTTCCCACGCAAAGCAACCTGACTCACCCCAGGCCTGCCGCCGCTCCACCAGAGGGACAGTGAACCTGCCTGTTCGCCTGCCAGATAGTCAGTGTTGAAACAGAGCCAAAGAACTGAGTCAAAGCATTACACCCCCCTCCCCCACCTGGTGCACATGGTATTTTGGCTAAAAGAGCAGAAATACCTGAATGGGGCTAAAAATGGCTGAGCTGGTGCCCTCCAGTCTCTGGACAGACCTATACTGGTCACCTCCCAGTGGATGTGGGAGTCATGGTTATAGCATTTTCCAGGATGAATAGACTAATAGAACCAAACTCAAAACCAAATTAGAATTCTTCCGAGAGGATATTTTCTATCCCACTTGTATGTCAGGGTAGTTCAAGGTGGCTGAACATAGCACATAAGTGGCCGAGGACTGGTTCAACCCTCTTCCGAGCTACCTCATCTGCTGTGAGATTTCCTTCCCAGCCTTACGGCCTGTGGCCCTTTCTAACAAAAGCTCTTGACCTCCTGGTAGGCTAGACTTTGTCATCAGAATTTAAGCCAATCACGCAATAGGAAGAAAGTAGGTTCTACACGAACATGTCCTAAGTCCAATCCCATCTTTTAAGAATTATACCCACGGTATTTTGAGCAGAACAGGTCTTTATCCTTGGCTAGGAAACCCTGCCCGTGGCATTCAATTAGTGCCTGAATCACACATTCCAGATAACCAGCCAAGGTTTGTTTTATAAAAGTGCTCACAGGGTTTGTTACAGTAACTGATAGCACCTTGTTGCAAGAGCTGCCTGAGTAGACACAGTGAGACAAGAAGTCAGCGGCTGTGGGTTGTGGGTCCAGCTTCGCTGTTGGTTGCACAAGCCACTCTGAGCCACACAGCCCACAAGCAGCAACTATCCTTGTGCATTCCCGTATGTATAAAGGTGAGCACGCACTCTGAAGCCAGACGATATCTGCATCAGAGCTCTGCCCCTGAACAGCTGTAACACCTTGGAAAAGTTACTTAACCACTTTGGCTCAGGTGCCTAGCCAAAGAAATGGGGACAGTGCTGTCACCTTCCTTCATCTTCTGAATATATATAGTATATATGTGTGTGTGTGTGTGTGTGTGTGTGTGTGTGTGTGTGTATTCAGAAATATAATATATATTCAGAAAAGATATAAATCCTTTGGGTCTGCACACAGCAAGTGCTATGTAAATTTTAATTATTGATGTCATCTGTAAAAATGAGGTGCATTCAGCCCAGATGGTACCTAAAGTTCTAGCCTACCCAAAGAGTCTGAGAGAAAATCTTATAAGTCAGGACTTCCCATGTGAGGGGTTTAACTGTTATAATACACACAGCACAATTCAAGTTAAAAACGGAGATTTTCTTGCCTTCGAGTTTTGTTTTGAAGTAAGCTCACAACTTTGCATTGGGCCGCATCCACAGCTCTCCACAGCCATGTGCTGCCCAGGGGCAGCGGCTGGAACACCCTGGGGACCCTGACAGTGCTGCCATGGTCAGGGTTGAGGAGGGAAACGGACTCACCTGTGTCACAAAGCAAGAAAAGTCACTCACCTGCTGAGCTTTGCCCAGAAAGTTTGTCTCCTAACTCCTAACAGACCTCACTGTCCCCTACCTTGTCTGAGAGTCATACTGACTTCTTAGATTTTTATGTGATCTGGTTAGACTCTCTTCTGCTGAAAGAGACATTTAGAAATAGTGAGGTGCCTTAAAAACATTAGCCCTGTCAGATCCATTATAAACTGGAATCAGAAACAGTTGGTCAGAATGTAGCTGCTGCCCCCTGCTGGCCCACTGGGTGCACTGCGTTTGTCGTTGTCTCTTCCTATTGGCTGTTGTGAAAGTCCCACCTAGGTCCAGGTGTCCATGAGCCATTTTGCAAACGCTGGGGATCAAACCTAGGGTTGTGAGCATGACAAACAAGCACTCTGCCTCTGAGCTCCATCCCCAGCCCTGGATAAAATTTGAGACAGGGCTTCACTCCGTACCCCTAGAACTCACTATATCCCTTGTGACCGGGAACTCATGGCAGTCTTCCTGTCCCAGCCTCCCAAGTGCTGGGATTGCAGGCATATGGCACCATACATTTGTTAGGATCAACTGAAACTAGATGTTGCCCATCCTTACTAACAGGAAAAGACATAAGGAAGAGCAGAGGTGAGCCCTGTAGGACTCCTGAGCCTCCTTGTTTAAAAAATATGCTAATCTTGGTTTATAGTCTAGACACTGTTCTCCATAGTGAGACCTCTTTATCTGAGCATTAGTTTTCTGCTAACCAACACCCATTCTTTTTATCTTATGAGCTGGCTTCTCAGGTCTGTCCACTTGAAGTGCTTTCTTTTATTTACAATCATGTTTGTTTGTTTGTGTTTGTTTGTTTGAGACAGGGTTTCTCTGTGTAGCTTTGCACCTTTCCTGGAACTCACTCTGTAGCCCAGGCTGGCCTCGATCCACCAGCCTCTGACTCCAGAGTGCTGGGACTAAAGGCGTGCACCACCACCGCCCGGCTCTACATTCCATTTTTTTAAAAAAAAAACTGTTTATCCAGGCTGCTCTGGTACCTGTGTGTTGCCAGACAGGGCTGTTAGGGTTTGTTATGTTTCTGCGTCTCCAAGGAGACTCTGGTTTTGGATTGCATTTAGGTGAACTTGCCGTTCTCACACAAGCATGTCTCCTGTTGTCTGAAGGAAGCTGCAGCATGTTTATAAGCAAGCAGGCTCTGCCGCTGTTGTCCCCTGCCTTGCGTCCTTTGTCACCCTAAGTGGCTTGCCTGCCGTGGACTCAAGATCCTGGGAAAGTGGCTATTTTTCAGTATGATTTGATGTTCATAAACTCCTGTCAATTCTTTCCAATACATTTTTTCAGACAGGGTTTTGCTATGTAGACCTGCTAGCCTAGAACCTTCTATGCACAACAGGCTAGCCCCAAATGCATGGCCGTACTCCTGCCTCCACCCCAAGAATTCAAGTTGCAGACCCGTACTGTCATGTCCAGCTTTTTAAACACTTGAGTCATGCTTCCATTCCCTAACACTGACTACCATCCTGCTTCACGCGCACTCTCTCCGATCTCGATTTTAGCAGCTGCCACCCTGGTCCTTCTGCTCCAGCCTTTCTAGGTCCCAAGATACCAAGCACAAAATTGCCTGTCCCCAGATGCAGTCTTCAGTACCTCAGTTTTCCTGGCAGAGTTCTGCTTGATCCTATTGTTATATCATTTCCCAATTCAATCCTAAACATCCAAGATCCTTCAGAAGATGGGTCCCTAGCTACCCAAGTCTGCTTTAACCCTGTCACACCATCCAATCTGTCTGTCCCTGGCAAATGCCACTGTGTTCTTTCATCCACTGGCCCTTCTCTACAGAACTGATCTCCTTCCCAACACAACTGACCACTCCTGCCAACCCTACCCATCTCTTGGGGTCCAACATGGTATCCCTCCTTCTCTAGGAAGCATTCTGCAATTCTAGTCAACCAACCCTGAACTCTCCCTACACGGATAGTGACTACCTTTTATCTTGCGGTGTGATTCACCTCATGCTTTATTGTCTGATGTCCTGAATTATCTTTTCTGTGTGTCAACACATGTCCAGAGATGATCAATTCTAGGGATATCTTTGGCATATGTTTAATATTACCAAAGCCATGGTACACAGTCTGACAACTATACAGCATCGTATGTGATGCTCCCCTGTTCTAATTGCGATTCATTCCATTCTCATAGCAGCCCCGTGAACAAGTGCTGTAAGGAAAGCAAAGCACAGGGAGGTTAAAGGACCTGCCAAGGCCATACAGCTCAGAAGTAGCAAGCAAATACATGGACCCAGACCGTCTCAGTCCAGGGAGGGTCGCTCTCTTCACCACACTAATACATAGTCTGTTCCTGCCTCAGCAACGCTTGTCCCGATGTCTGCTAGAAAGCCAAAGGTAATGGCCAGCTGTCATGAGAAAGCTGAGGAGATGTTTCAGTCAATAAAGTGATTGCCGTTACAGCATGAAGACCTGAGTTCAATCCCTAAGAACCTATGTTTAAAAAAAGAAAAAGCGGGGCATGATGTAAGCACAGCTGTGGAGAAGGAGAGTGATGGAGGCAGACTCTCGATACATGTACACATGCAAAAATAAAGTTTATACACATACACACACACACACACACACACACACACACACACACACACACACACACACACATATTCACATAATTTCCTGGCTTTTCAAGAGCCACTTTTGTCAGGATATCCTAAAAAGTCAGGAAGAGGCTGTCAATCATTTCCCTAAGGCCATCAGTCTACGTTCATCTCCAGGCACTGGCGGAAAGCCTATGACAAGGCCAAGGTCATCAAGGTCTCTGAATCTAATACGCTCCATGCAGTCACTGTTGGCTTTGCAAAGCCTCTCTTCTCCATCCCCCTGTCCGTATACAGAAGAGTTCCGGCTTGCTTGCTTAGCGCCACTCGGGAAACCAAACCTTGTCAGCACACCGCTTTTCAGGAGTAGCTTTTGAGGGCAAACGACAAGCAGGAGAGTCACTGGTGCCTGTTCACGGTTGCGGCCTCCCGTTTTCTCCCCAGAACACCTTGCGCAGAACATATCCAAATCCCACCTGGAAACCTGCCAGTACTTGCGGGAAGAACTGCAGCAGATAACGTGGCAGACCTTCCTGCAGGAGGAGATCGAGAACTATCAGAACAAGGTAGGGCCGGAGGAGCTTCTCTTCCCGCTCAGGCAACGTTGAGAAGGGGGCTGGAGGGAGGCATTCATTCAAGAGCGCAAACAGACCGAAGGCAGACAAGACTGTCCTGCATCAGATCGCTAATCTCTGCCTAAGGACCTGACTTCCAGAGCTGATCACAGGCTCAAAGCTTTGTTGTCTTCCTCAGATGCTAGTGGGGGAAAGTTCAGCTGGAACAAATTTCATTGTGTTTTGTAAGTCCCTCTGTGCCAGTGGGAGACTAGATCAGGCAGCTTCCAGAAGTCTCCATGAGCTAGGACTTGCCCTGATGCCACGGTAGAAGACTTTGAGAGCTAAGAATTGGTAAAATAATCAGCCCCACGCTGCATGCTTCTAGGTTAACAAGGAGTTGGTTAGAGATTGTGGACAAGAACGGGGCTGGGGACACTGGAGAGATGGTCCAGTGGTTAAGAGCGCTTGCTACTCTTCCAGAGGATCTGAGTTTGATTCCCAAGACCTAGTCAGGAAGCTTGCCTGCAAGAGGGGCGTTGGGGAAGGACCGGACAGACAACAGACAGACAGACACTTAAAAATCTTCCAAAAATAAGAAGAATGAGATTTTGGAAGGTTGGGTGTAACTGTTCAGGACTGAAAATGAGCTTGGCAGGTGGTGACCCTGCTTGCTATCTCTATGACACTGACCAATGGGCCGCAAAAATGGGAGGGTGAGCCAAAGGTAAGGTAATGGCGATTAGCCATTTGCCTTTGGGAAGAACTGTGGTGGCCTTTGCCAGGGGTGGTAGAAAGTCAGGCTGGGAAAGGACCATGGAGATGATGGAGGCATATCCTCCCCGTCACCCTTCCTGGAGAGAAAACCATCATCCCGTGGCTACGGCTGCACAGTGAGAGCATGAGGACCATGTCCTCAGGCGACTCAGCTCCAGGGTTTGGTCCCCATCATCCTGTTGGAAATAACCTTAAACCGCAGGGTGTAGTGGGAGAGCGGATGAGCAAAACAAGAGCTCCAGGACACGGTGATGAGTGGGAGGGTGCGAAGAAGAGCAGCTCACTCAGTCTGCCTCTGAGTACAAAGTCAGCCCATCACCCGAGCCACAAAGGAGAGCCAGCAAGCCTTGTGAAGTGGGGCTTTGGCCTCAGCTCCGCTTATACCTACTGGCTGGGAAGCCTCAAGAGTTTTGGTGTCATTTCTGAATAGTAGACAACTTGTATAAACATATGAAACAAGGGTATCATCAAGCATCTAGCTCAGCAGGTATAGACAAAAAAAAAAATGTATGTGACACTCCTTTCCTTCTCTCCACCCCCTGTAAAGTACGGGTAAACTCCCTAAAATAAATGAACCGATTAAAAAAAAAAAACAAAACAACCTCCACTTACCGTGGAGCCCACAGTTACAGCAGTCATGTATATCACTCTCCTGACTTGTGTCTAGCTGTTGGTCCCCTATGTTCGGAATACCCCTGACTTTCTGCTCCCCCACTTCGCCACCCCCATTCAGTTGCCTTCAGACAGTAAGCTAGGAACCTCAGGAGGCAGAAAGGATATGGAAGCAGGCTTTTATAACCTAAATAACAGAGACTATATTTTTAATCCTATAACCTTTTTTTAACCCATTTCCAAAGAAAGCTTTTCACAAACTAGGGAGCGGGAAGCTAGCTGCACTAGGGTCCCAGCTCGTCGTCGTCTGTTGATATGTTCCCTCCTTCACAGCAGAGAGAGGTGATGTGGCAGCTGTGTGCCATCAAGATTACAGAAGCTATCCAGTATGTGGTGGAGTTTGCCAAACGCATTGACGGGTTTATGGAGCTGTGTCAAAATGATCAAATTGTGCTTCTAAAAGCAGGTATGTGCTCTGCAAGTGAGTCCTGATGTCACTTCCAGCCTGTTTTCACCTGCTTGTTAAGGAAATGCTTGCTAAGGAAGGTGGCGGAGCCGTTTTCCCAGGGATAATAGCTCAGGGTTTGCTTAGCAGAGACTGAACCCTTTTTGTAAAAACATTTTAAAGATGCATTCAGCGGGGCTGGAGAGATGGCTCGGTGTTTAAAAGCACTGGCTGCTTTTGCAGAGGACCCAGGTTCAATTCCCAGCACCCACATGGAGGCTCACCACCATCCATAACTACAGTTCTAGGGAATCCGATGTCTCCTGACCTCCAGACACCAGGCGTGTACATGGTACACACATATACATGCAGGCAAAGCACTCACACATAGCAAGTTATTCATGTATGTGGTGTGTGTGCACATATATTATTAAAAAGATGTTCAAGAAGCATTCCATTTTCCTACTCCCCTGGGAGGGAGGTTACCCTGTGGAATATTTGCACCCCAAATCTTACCATCACCCTTCAGGCCCTAATGCCGAGTTGTTGGTAAGATGTTTATGAGCTCAAAGAGTCATTCCTAGGCTGGACTGTTTTTATGCATAAATGTTTCCCAAGCGACTTTAAAACTCTGCACCGCAATGTGAGTCGGTCCTCATTTCTTCTGCCCCTTGGACAGAGGGCTGGTGTGACTGATAACACATGGCTGCCCTGCACTCTGCCACTGTGCCGTCTCAGGAAGGCTTCTGTTGTTAGCAGCTCAGGAAGGAACTAGGATCAGTGGACTGATGCTAAGCAAGTCTTCCCCATGCAGGCTCTCTAGAGGTGGTGTTTATCAGGATGTGTCGTGCCTTTGACTCTCAGAACAACACCGTGTACTTTGATGGGAAGTATGCTGGCCCCGATGTCTTCAAATCCTTAGGTAAGGAAATCTCACGCTGCTGTCTCTGTAAATGGGGGTCATGTTCAAGGATGCGTCTGGATGGAAGCTCTTGTTGCACAAAATGAAACTGGTTATTTGGAACCCAAATTAAAGGGTGATACACCTATTTTACTCTATGTAGCTATCTGCTATAAAAACAGTCTGCACGCAGCAAGTACCTTTGTCTACATCATATGCAAACTCAAGTTCATTTGTAGGTTAGTCATTGAGTGAGTTATTGTCTGCATCACATGTAAACTCTTTGTAGGTTGGTCACTGAGTGAGTTAGTACATGATCTTTCAGTTCCCCTTCCAGGTTCAAATAAATGAGATTTCCAATGAATAAAGTGTTCAAATAATGGAGAGGATATGACTCATATGGAAAATGAAGCAAAAATGGAAAAGTCCATCATCCTCTCATACTGTAACCATTTATGAAAAGAAAATGTAAACATCAAAAAAGTCCAACAGAACTAAAGAAAACTATGGCATATGCATCATAAAAAGTCCTTTTGAGTTTCTGTAATATAAATCATCAGAATGTTGCCATTAAGGAGAGACAAAGGGAACCCAAGATAACGTTGAATGGCTTATTTTAACCCTGAGTGGCCGGAGGTTTATCTAAGTGCGGCACAGCCCACTGCCACTTACAAATAGTAACCAATGGGCAAACCTGAATAACAGAAACAAAACTCAACTCGTCTTAGGTGAGTTGAATTATTATTTTAGGGGACTTTCACATTGTTTTCAATTTGATGAATAGTTACAACAATCACACCACCACCATGGATCTGAGTATCACAGCCAATAGGGCATTAGATCCTGTTCATTCAAAATGAGGGTTCTGAAGTCAGACAACCTGGAGTTGAATGTGTTGCGACCACGGGTATATTACTTATCTCTGTTAGGTTTCCATTTCCTCAGTCCTAAAATGGGAATGCTAACAGTAACATGCCCCTCACAGGGCTGTTTTGAAACCCGAGGAAACGCTAAGAATGTTGTTCAAGTAGTTATCTGACTAGAAATCACAGGACAAATGTTCTCTCCCTTTACTGTAGGTGATGATGGTGGTGGCGGGGTGGGGGGGTGGTCCTGATATGAAGCTGATGGTGATGGATGATGATGATGATAATGCTTTGTGATGATGGTGGCAATGATAAAGGTGGTACCAGGAGGTTAGTGATGGTGATGTACTTCAAACTACTCAACTAAGAAACACTCTTACTATCCCATCTCATCTCCAACTTCCACATCTCTCTTCACCTTGTTCTGTATTCTTCTCCTAGGGTAACCGCCGACATCCTAAACTTGCTTTATTTTAATCATAGGTTGTGAAGACTTCATTAGCTTTGTGTTTGAATTTGGGAAGAGTTTGTGTTCTATGCACCTGACTGAAGATGAAATCGCATTATTTTCTGCGTTTGTACTGATGTCAGCAGGTAAGAAAATCAAATAGAAATACAGCGGTCTCTGACGTGCGTGTCCAGGTAAAGAACGTTTCCACAAGGCCCAGGATTTCATCTTCCCCAGTATTTGAGGGGCTTTCCAGAGCAGCTGCCACCCTTACTCAGTTTAAAGTTTCTCAGAGAATACCCCCTCTACGCCAACACATACAGCTCTTTTCTAAAGACCTACGGGACCGGGGAGATGGCTCAGGGGGGTCAGGGCACTTGCTACACAAACATGGGGACCTGAGTTCAGATCTCAGCACCCACATTTTAAAAAAAAAATGGTTGGGCACAGTCACACACGAGTAAGAGTGACCTCAGCACTAGGAAGGTGACTGAAGAGTGACGGCATTTGCTAGCTGCCAGACTAGCTCCAAGTTCAGTGAGAAACCCTGTCTCAAATGAATATAGTGGAGGGTGGTAGAATAAGACACCTAATGTCCTCCTCTGGCCTCTACAAATGTGTGTACACATGCATTCCTCTCTCAAACACTCTTGGGGACGGGGACGGACACACACACACACACACACACACACACACACACACACACACCCCTCATGATATGTAGATAACAATTTTAAGAAGTACTCCACATACCAAGACAAAGGATTTCAGAGAACAGGGCTGCTCTTCTTGACGCCAGTCTGTGTAAACACTGCCATTCACAAATCTATCCTGCCTCCAACCTACTTGGAGTTCCTGCAGGTCTGCCTCTTGGGGAACTATCCTCTACTTGGAATTCTCACACAAAGACATTCCTAAATTAACAACCCTTAAGTCATTTGAAATTCTGTTGACAGTTTGTGTTGCCTCGGATTAAAAGGCAATTTTACATTTCCAGGAAGGCCAGCAGGACAGGCGGGATGCTGCCTGCAGAGGAAGTACCTAAAAAGGGCGGGGCACAGTGGGTTCCTGGGCAGTCATTGGCCCTAATGTAGCTGTCCTTCAGAGGAAGAAGAAGAGCACCCGCCCTCCCTCCCAGGACCAGGGGCAGGGGGAGATTTAACAACCTGGCATGCTGTGTCAGAAGTTGTCTTTCCATGCTGCAGAACTGGCCTTACTGGCCTGCGAGTCTGTAAACACACACTATAGCACAGAAAGCAGTGTTTTGGTCAGGAGGAACAAGGGTCTGATGCTGTGTTGAAGGAATGGCACTGAGTCTCCTTTTTTCACGTTTAGATCGCTCGTGGCTGCAGGAAAAGGTAAAAATAGAAAAACTGCAACAGAAAATTCAGCTAGCCCTTCAACATGTCCTACAGAAGAACCACCGAGAAGATGGGATTCTAACGAAGGTAAGGTCCACGGGGGCCCAGCTGGCCCGGCCTGACCTATCTCCTGGCACAGATCTTTTTTGCGGTGTCTTTATAAATCACATGGCCAGTCCCAGAAAGTTATCAGCATGCATGGGCTACTCACTCCGAAAGTTCTGTTGGGCCAAACCTCATTACTCAGGTTAAACTCTGTTTATTATAATTGATCACAAAGTTTCCTGCAGTAATACAGCAATCTGGGAAAACATCATTTATTACATGTTAAATTACATGTTATATATGGGGCGGGGGACATGTGCATGCCGGTGCTACAGAGACCAGAAGAGGGTGTCAGATCCTCTGGAACTGAAGTTATAGGCAGTTGTAAGAGGGCAAACTTGTGAGCTGGGAACTGAACTCTGGTCCTCTGCAAGAGCAGTATGTGCTCTTACTCACTGAGCCATTCCTCCAGCCCCAGGAAAGACGTTTTTCCCCCCTTAAAGAATGAACCCTCTCAGGAACCTCTCTCTTCCTGTTCTTTAAACTTAAGCATAGAGCAGGGTCAGCATGCTGCACTGACTTAAGCAGGAGGCTCTTTGAATCCAGGAGGAGGAAGCAGAAAAGGACTAAGAGAAGATAACCACATGTTCAAATATTGGTTCTCTTAAATTCATTAGTTATCAGCAAGAAATCGTTTTTGTATTTTGTTTCCTACTTCTGTGCTGTATTAAAAGCACGAGGCTTCATTCGTTTTTGCTAATTATCCTTGACAGCTAAAACATGATAGATGTTGCAATGCTGCTGCTTCTGACGTCAGGGGAGCATCCATTTCCATTCTTTGCTCGGTTGCTGTGTTGTATTGTACAGAAGGTGATTTGAAACGTCTGGTGCTTGGGTTTCCTCCCTGATTCCTCCTGCTGTTTTTCTGATGGCTTGGGGAGGTCAGAGTGGAGAAATTGGCTTTGATATTGTACATGGTCAGTGAGCAAGAAGCAAAGGGGAGATCCCAACTGCCCAAGCATGAGACCACCATGAGGGCTGTTATCCTAGAGAGGGCCTGACGCAGACAGGAGCTGGTGAAGCCCTTTCCTAGAGACAGTGACTCTGATCTGCAGCCTTTCTGTAGTTCAGTAGGGTTTACAAGCAACTTTGCAGGTCACTGCGGTTACCTTCAGCTGCTAGACTTTCATTAACTGAGACCCTGAGTGACTTTATAGTATAGAGAAAGATCTCCCTCTAGAAGGAAATCACCCATAGCATTTACTCATACAGTCTGGTGAATGGCTAAGAGACTCAAGACACTAACCAGATGATCTGAATGTGACCCCCCAGGACCCACATGGTGGAAGGAGAGAGCTGACTCCCAGAAGTTGTCCTCTGACCTACATACACACACATACCATATATACATACCTACATAGAGAGAGAGAGCTGAGAGAGATAAGTGTAATTTTAAAAACTAAAACAAAAGAATTGACCCCCACTCATTCTGCATACGATGTATAATAGGTGCCCCTCTCTAGCTGTAGTGACCTTGCTAACCTGCCATTCACCTACTTCTCCATCAGGAGACCTCTTTTTTCCCCCACTGAGGCAGCCAGCAGGGCTTCAGATGGTGCAGCCCGGATTAGGGAGGAGCCCAGAACCTCATCTAGACTCTAGCAATGAAGGGGGGAGGGGGCAAATTTGCTTATGAATAACTCCTTGAGTTAACTTATTCATGTTGAAAATGCATGTGGTGCATTCCAAGCGTCCTAACACAGGACCTCCACTCATCTCTCCCTGCCCCCTCACTGGAGGCTTAAGCAGCATCAGGTGGGTCTTCACCATGATGAGCAGTGTTGTGGAGGTCACCCTGAGTCCTTGAATTTTCCCTTTCGTGACCGCCCTCCCCTGACATCCTGTCCTTTCTCCTGCTTACAGCTAATATGCAAGGTGTCTACGTTAAGAGCCTTATGTGGACGACATACAGAAAAGCTAATGGCATTTAAAGCAATATACCCAGACATTGTACGACTCCATTTTCCTCCATTATACAAGGAATTGTTCACTTCAGAATTTGAGCCAGCGATGCAGATCGATGGGTAAACGTAGTACCCGAGCACTTCTAGAACATCTGAAGTACAAACATGAAAAGAAAAAAAAAAAAAAGGAAACAAAACAATGACAACGAAGACAAAATTAACTGAGACACTTTCTATGGCCCTGAACAGCCCTGGAGCGCCACCACACTGCACAGACATCTTATGGTGATCGGGGTTCAGGCACAGAGGGAAAACAATCAGAACCAATAAAAGCTAAACTTGTTTTGCTCATGCATATGATTTCCACTATGCCGACAGATACGGACCCTTTTTCTGTCTCGACTTCTAGAGCGGTTGACCTCTGCATATAACAGGAGGAGGGTACTACGGTCAGAGGAGTCCCTTTTCTTCTAGCTCACTGCCCACAGACTCTTACGGGTAACAACAGAGTCCAGCAGTAATCGGTGACCCCAGTGTGCGTAGTGGGGGGGGGGGGGGTCGCGGCGGTACTTTGCACAGCTTGCTTTTCTGTGTCATGAAGGAAGATTTTGTTTTTCTCACCGATTATTGCCGGTCAGCGGGATGGCGTGAAAAGGGGATCCATAGCGCTCACAACAATAGCATTATAATATATTACACAGGGTAAATGGGCATGAAGACTATATATAGCTAAAGAGATATTGTTTATATATTGTTTTAATTAATATAAACTGTAGTGACTGGCGTAGCTTTTCCTGTTGAATTGATAAGGCACTTTCTGTTTTGCACCTTTTGTTTCCTTTAAATTAAATGCTAGTGTGTTCACTGTCGCCGTGTCGCATGTACACCAGAAACACAAGTTTAGCTGAGAAGGCTTGGAAGGTACGTCGGGAGGTATTTATGCTGCTGTTTACAAAAACAAAAACAAATAGCAATTACTTTTAAAAGACTGGCTGGTCATATCCAGAAATCAACATGTTGAATTTTTTTTTCCCACCTTGTAAATTTGGAATTAACGGACTGCTCCCTAAATCGTATTTTGTTTTGCATGCAATTAAGAATGGGTGTGTTTATGCTTCCGACAGAGTCGAAGAGTATCTGGTGCTGTGGGCTTAAACCATATGTGCATTTTCTGAAGTTTTTAAAATGCCACCTTTGGGAAGTGGAGGAGGAGAGACTCATTTGACTCAATTCAGTAGTCAAAGTGACACAGTATCAACTTGGAATTCGGATGCTTTCAGAACTAATTAGTAACCAGAATTGATTAAATTTATGGATTAAATTGTAGCTCTTATTTAGAAGAAGGACCCAAAGACTCTATGTGGAGCAAACACACTCCCCACATTTATTGAATGTCTTATGTTCTTGGCATCAGGAGCCCTAAGAATTCATCTCAGAGAAAACTGATCCTGGACTAGCTGTCCCAGGTTCTAGACTGCTCCTCTCCATGTTGGGTAGACAATGGATGAAGATGGACGGAGACAGTGTCGAACCTGGTTCCTGTATTTAAAATAAGCCTTCAGCGTGAAGGTGATACCAGCTGCAGACATTTTCTCGTGTATTCATCTTCACTAGGAAACTGTGGACTGTAATTTATTTTTTTAAATATTTAGAAGATAGTTTGGCTTTTGTGTTCAGGTAAGAAGTATTGAGGTATCCTTGATTAATTCTGCATTTAAAAAAAATAATGCCCAGTGGGAGTAGGAAGGAATATTCTTATGTTCACAGGTGTGTATATTTTTAAAAGCAAGGGCCCTGGGACTAGAGAGAGATGGTGGCTTAGAGGTCAAGAGCGCTTATTGCTCTATCAGAGGAATAACCCCAGCAATCAGATCAGGCCACTCAAAAAGCCTGTAGCTCCAGCTCCAAGATACCAGTGTTCCCTCTGTGAGCAAGCGCACACACAGTGAGAGAAACAGAGATTTAAAAAAAATCAATAAATTCTTTAAAACAAGTGCCCTTTTGAGAAATTTGGAGGCATTTGGGAGATGACTTTGGTCATAAGACACTGGTCTGGCATCAAAGACCATATCTGTAAGGAAAAGGGAACATCTTCCATGGTACAAAGGTGGGTGCGTCTACGAAACCCTATACATCTAATGGCCTCCTCTGCCACTAGGGTCCTTCTAATATCTTTTGCCAGCATTTCTGTTCCTGCTGATGTCCATATGATGGGTTTACCAGGGCCAGCTTCCCAGAGCACTTCACAATTTTTAACTTCGCTGACTTTCTGCCTTATTTACTGAGGGACTTGGAAAGTAGGAAGGAATTATTTGTACAGAAATGTGTGGGTGAAGCCTAAATAACATCTGATTTTTTTTTTCAAAAACATAGTTAAGGGTTTAACCATAAACAGGAGAGTGATATTTACTTAAATTTCTTACAAGCATAGAAAATTTTATGTGTTTATATAGAGAGGTTAGCTGTCAGCATATAGTATTTATATTGGGCAAGAAGGGGTAAATCAAAATTTTATTTAAGCATAGTTCCTTTAAAGATTAATAGTATTTATATTCTGAAAAGAGTACAGTTTTGTTATTTATTTACCCTTTTTTTTTTTCTGTTGTTTCTCCTGTGTGAGGGAATGGTGTGAGGTTGGGTTTGGTTTTCGTTTTTCCTTTCTTTTTTAGTTCAGATTCACTAAATTTGGGGATGGTTTTAGTAAAATATATTAACTTCTTTTTAACCAAAGCTTTCTGCATATGACCAGCCTCAGGTGCTAGCGCACTAAAGAGCAACTAAACCTAATTCCAGTGTCCATGTGTGAATAAGGTGAGCTGACCGAACTTCTCTAAGGGTGAGAAAGAAGGTGACATTGAACTTCAGAGAAATTCGTTTTCCCAGAAAGGATTCTGCATGTACCTAATGCAAAACAAACACAAGATACTGCAATCTCAGTACCCTGCCATGGTGACATTGCTTTGACAATACAGCAGGAGAGGGTGGTGTGATACTGTTTCCAGGTGTATCTGGAAGAAAAGCAGGAAGTATGCTTTCAGAGCAAACTCCTCCAACATTATTGGGACGGAGCCATAGAGACAGATGCTCTGAGAAACTGAGGGACAACTATGGTTTGCACCTACGTTGAGAGGAACAGGATGTAAAACCTTTGGCATTTTTCTTTTCTTCCTTATGGTGAGAACCACTTGTGTGGTGTCACAAGGTGGTTGCTGACACAGAACCATAACGCTTACTAGTTCATGTCATTGAAGTTGCCTGAACTTAAAAGGCTCAACAGTCTCCTGGGGACTGAACAGTATTGTATGCTCGGCTGCTAGAAGGCCATCAGACAACTCTTTTTTACGGAAGGTAAATGAGGCATTTGTACAAAATCTGGATGTTGTTACTGGGATACTCAAGTGATCCAGCAACATCATGAGAAATTGGCCTTGGCCACAGCGAAATCCAAAGTGCAGTTGAAAACACTTTTTGGACAGATCACAAATTGTGCTAAGGCTATGGATTTTTTTTTTTTTTAAGCATTCAGCATTCTAATTTGTGTTAAATCCATGGATTTTTTTTTCCAAAGTCTTTCACATCCTGATTCACCCTTCCTAACTTAAGGAAAACATGACCTAAGACACTGCTTCAAGTTTGGTTGTTCTTTAGCGAGTGGATACCAGATCTCTGTGAGTGATGGGGGTGGGCTGAGGATCAGGGGAGGAAAGAGGGTTTTTGCCTGTGTGTGTGTGTGTGTGTGTGTGTGTGTGTGTGTGTGTGTGTGTGTGGCTTTTGTGTGTATGATATGCGTGTGTTAGACCGCTTCTAGGCTACTAAGTGTCAATGGGAAAGAAAATGTATTCAAAATACATAAATCAAAACTAGAAGATGGAAAGAAAAAGATTTATTCTATACAAAGCCTTGTCTGGACCACTCTAGAGAGACTTCTATTTTTTTAACCCTTCTATAAATATTTGATGGCACTAGAAATATTCCTGCAATAAGATGTGATTTGTGTAAAGAAAAAAAAAAGATTTTGTAATGTGAAACAAAGAAAGAAAGTAATGTAATTTTCTAAAAAAAAATACAAACAAACAAACTTTGTATTATTTTCTTGATGGAATTTGCCTATCTGTCTTTGGAAAAAACTTTTTATTTCATTGAATGTGCCATAGTAGATGTACGTGTTTTTAGTTTTAGACTAAGGGATGGCTGTTTGTGTTCCGACATTCCAAAATGCAAAGCAACTTAGAAGAAGCCTTGATGAGGAGGTTTCAGTAGGATGCAAGCGTCTCCTTGCCGCTCTTTTTGCACACGTCTTTAATTCCTACCTAGTGCAATATCTGTACATAGAGCACTTGCGGGTGTACTTTGATCCCTCAGGGAAAAACACATGTTTGTACAGTTGTTGGGTTTGTTTTGGTTTTTTGTTTGTTTTGGGGTTTATTTTCCTTTTGGTTTTTTGGCTAAGGAATGTCGATCGAATCACTTGTCAATGTTGAGAGGCAGCCAGATAATCCGCCTAAAGCCACTGTTTCCAACACCGATTGTTTGAGTCATGTCTTTCCAGTACTATTATTTTCAAATAACAATTATTAATAATATTAATAATAATAATAAAAAGCTATTTTCTGACAGTTCTTTGTGCTGACTGGTGGAAACCGAAAGGGGGAAAAAAGCACCTTATGATTGACTTACTGTGAATGACAATCCATCTTGGTGTCAAAGACAGCCCTGTTGTCCGGAGTTGGGGCTGAGAATCAGAAACACTGTGCTCAGGGATCTTCTAAAACTCTTAAACAGGGTGGCCAGTGGACTGGGACAAATTGTGTTCTTACTATTAAAAAGAATGATGAATGCTATCCCTCCAAGGCACAAGTGAACTGTAGAGAAGTGTGTATATGTGTGTGTGTCTGTCTCTCTGTCTGTGTGAACTCTTCACTGTCTCATTTTGTTGAGTTCAAAATTCCTGTGTTTCAGAATACTTTGTAACTCCTGAGGCAGTGGACGTTCTGCCAATGTGTATGAAAGATGACTTCAGAAATGACAGACCAGTCAAGGAGCAAAGCCCAGCCTGTTTGCTATTTCCCTAACAATTAAGACGATCGTGGGAAATAATTTTACATTTTAAACAGTTTCAAATTCTATGTGTTATGAATTAAGGTTTTTTTCTTAAACCAGCAGTAAAACCTATCAGTGAAATAGGCAGCAACAGAGTCTTTCAGATCTAGAAAACAACAGTTTTGGGGTTTTTGTGTGTGTGTGTGTGTGTTTTTCCATTGTATTCTCCTCCAGGAGCAAATCAAACTCCTGTTATGCAAAACAGTTCCTATTCCACAGCCCTAGCTTTTTTGGTTTGTGGGGTTTTTGTTTGTTTTCTTGTAAGAGCTGACATTTAAAGACAGATCAGTCCCTTCATGACAGACCACAACTCGATCTAGCTTTCAGGGTTTCACAGTTCTGACCATAGTTCTGGCCTCACATTCCCATATACCACTTCCCATAAAGGCAGCTCAGTGTAACTACTGATTCTGAGTCTCCTGCCCCATAACACATGCCTGGCAGAATCACATAGCTTCTTATTGCTGTAAGAGAACTTGGTGTAAGAAACCTGTCCCTGTCCATCAGGTGACAATACCACCTCGCACCTTGTTTGGAGTGGAGAAGGGAGCAGAAATCTCCCTCCTTTTCTCTCCCCATTGATGCACCTGTGTACATGTGATAGACATTTTTACATACCATCACAGGGCCACCTCTTACTCAAAGTTGTGACGCAGAACCCCACAAGGGCAGCCTTGTACTATGGATCAGTTATGTGCCCAGAAATGCAGCCACAACAGTCAAATGAGCATGCTGCTCTTCATTCTATTCCCCAAACACTAATGTATGAGATGCTTCTACCAGCTTTGATAATAGGGACTTCCCGGTGCTGTTGATTTTTAATTGATTGAGAAGGCCAACTATCAATGTCATCAAAGGTGACTGTGTGCTCCCTGTGCCCATGCATGCATGTGTCTCATCAGTTCGCGACACTATCAAAATAATGTTTTTAAACGAGCAAGCAGGAAGGCTGCTTCATACCAAGAAGGTGGCTCCCTGTCCATGAATGGAGGCAGAGTATGTTCGACCACACACACCCTCAGAACTTAGAGCAATAAACACTATTCAGTCGCTTCTTTACTTGTAAATGGGTGACAGAATATTTGATCCAAATAGAAACCACCATTTCCCAGGGGTCTCGTGTGGAGAGTGGCGATGAATGTTTGGAAGAGATACCCAGAGAATGTGTTCTCTGTTTACATGCAGTGTATTTTGCCACATAAGCTGTCCTGTGCTTTTCCTTTGATCCTCCTAGAAGCTAATGACAGCTTGCTGTTAGCTTTATATGCTATGCATGTCATTATGTTGTTCTCCCAGGACAACTGGCTTCTCTCCCGTGTTCCTGTATGATTCCTTTCTCATGATGACTTGTGTGGAGGAGTCACTACGTCTAAGTGATGATCACTGAACACATTGCATACATAAATGCAGAAATTTCTTGAGCAATATAGTGAATATGATTTCACACACACACACACACACACACACACACACACACACACAACCGGTATGTACTGTACACATCTCCCCGAATCCTCAATTCTCTGCTTCTCCACAGTGGTTTGAAATCTCATCTACAACAGTGGCAACCGTTTTAAACAGTAGGACATTAGCTGGCTGCTTCTTTAAATGTACCTGTACTGTCTGCCTGCTCCTTTTGTGGAGATGTGTTTTTGTATTGGATGTTTGGGCCAATGGGAGGCTTCAAGCTACAACCTATTTTCCCAGTTTAAATATATTGAACTTATGACAAACCCCAGACAAGGCTTTTAATCTGTAAAGAACTGCAGTGTTGGGTGGTTTATTTACAAACCGTTTTCAATGTTGTCCATTTTTATGGCACCTTTAACAATATACTTGTTTCCAAAGTACAAAAAAATAATAGGTTAAATAATCTAGCCATAACTGAATGTCAAGCAATAAAACAAATGACTTTTGTGCATAGACTTTAAAAACTACAAATTTTAGACATCTGCATGTAAATGCAATCTCTTGTTTACTGCTTTCTTCAACTCGAGCAACAGATTCCTTATTTACTATTAACTTAAGAACTTGTAATGGCCTGTACACATTCTCTCCTACTCTTCTTTCAAATTTACCTTCACCCTGCTTTTGAGTCCTAATATTTAATGTTGTTCTGCACACCTCTATACAGTTAACTTTCTGGCTTTCGTTCTGTATAGATAAGAAGATGTTATATTATAAACAGCCTACTCAGTGCAAATATTTATCTGTTTATCAAATCCACAATATGCTGTGTAATACTGGTTTTACGATATAATCTATTTTAGACATAGCTGTTTAGAACTAGAGTGTGCTATTTTTGTGTTTTTCTGATGTGTGGTGCTAGATAAGTTACTTTTGTGAACAAAAAAAATTATCCCTTTTATTCCTAGACAAAACCACCTTTGGGTCTTGTTAATTTCACTGAGTATAACTATATATTTGTATATATATACATATATATATATATATTTACCTGTACCCAACTGGCAACTGTATCAGAGTGCTAGATTTGGGACATGCTTTTCTCTTTAAATACATAACATCATTATATAAATTATTCTAGAGTGTATTTAATTAGGATAAAATTACATCCTTAGTATGGATATTTGACATATACTGGGTGAGTTTGTTCATAAATATGGACATGAAAAACTGTTACCATTTATTTAAGTGTGTTGCTCAGCTTTACATCACATCTCTTGAGCTGAAAAATAATGACAGGCCTTGACCCCAAAGCAACAATCTTGTTTAGTGGAGAAATCCTTTCTTGCCTTACTGAGGAACTCTATAATTGGCACCTGACTAAAATCTACATTAATTCCTAGTATAGAAAATACGTAGAATATTTATAGAGGATTGATAGCACCGTAGGCCATTCCCCTCGTCTCAGTCATGAGATGTATGGACATATGCATTGGGCTACACTCCAAATTCAGCAAGGGATGGTGTTTTATTATGACCGCAACCAGTTCTGTGAACTGAGTGGAGGACCTTTGTTAACTCTTTGACCTCTTTCCAAGACCAATTGGCATTGTTAGAGTTGTACAGCAAATATCTAACTAAGGATGTAATTAGCCTTCTTAAATATTGATTAGAATTGTTCTGTAATATTACTGAATTTGTAAGATCTTTAGCAAAGATTTTTGAGCAATTTATAAATATAGAGCAAATGTTTCTGTTTACTGCACTTTTTGTAACTGAAGGTGATAACTTCTCAAGTCACAATTAGTGGATCCCACGCATCACAATACATACTTAGCCACCATTCTGGACATTTCCCATTTTTAATTGCTGTTCCCTTGATTATAAATGTAATCAGGTGGTTAATGAAAGCTAATGCTAATAATTGACCTTTTAAAGTGAATTTGATACAATTTAGGGAGAAATCTCTTTTAATGCAATCATGCCATTCCCTAACTGTCTAGCTTGAAGAGAAATTGAAACATTTTTTGTTTGTTTGTTTGATTGGATGATTGATTGATTGACTTTTGCACAGTTTAGTATCCCAAGCTTCCCTAGGGTAGAAATTTTATCTCTTTGTACTTGCACATGGCCAGCACATGTCAGCATTTGATGACTGTTTAAAATGACAAGTGTGCCCATAATTAAAACACTCCCCACCCTGAGTGTTTGGGCAAAAACTGATACTTGCAAAGTCATACAGTTAACAATTCTATATCCAAGTCTACAAGTCACACTGTCCTTTTGGAGGACATGAAATGCTGAGTCTAACTGTGTGTGGGTCTCCAGGATCAAGCACACAAATGTCACACAACTCTACAGGTAGCAAGCCTGGCCTGCTGGAAGTAGTTGTGAAAGTCTGGAAGCAGCGATGCCGAACCTATAAATAAGATGCTGTCTCTTTTGTGTACAGGATGTAAAGCTTCTTTTTCTGTCACACTAGAAATGCAAACCATTTATGGGATTCTTAAAAACCATAGTATGGACCTAAAACTTTGCTAATGATCTTTACTAGAGGCTCATCCCACTTTACACTGACATTGGTTTTCTTTTCAATCCTCTCTCTACAGTAGTAGATTCCTTATTCCCAGCTGTTTATTTTATTGAATCCTGAATTTAAAGAAAAAAATATTTTGATTCATTTTGTAAATACAAGATGTAAAAAAAAAGAGAGATTTAATGTTGTCTTTTAAATACTCCAATTTTCATTCTAATATGGATGTTGTTATATTGTACTTAGCAACTGTACCTTTAACATTACAGTACCTTTATTAAAAGTGCATCGAACACATCAATTTTAGATGTGCTTTATGTGCTCTTATCCTATAATAAAACTTCAGCTTCTAATGGAACATTTGTCTTGCATTTCTTCCTTCCTGAGTGACACTGTATACATTTCTAATTATATCCCCCTTCTTGTGAATGGTCTAGTGAACCTTGATAATCAGTAAGACTCACAGATCAGTAACATTGGCACCACCTGGACTGTTACAGATGGCTCAGTGGCTAAGAGCACTAGCTGCTCTAGAAGAGGGTCTAGATTTAGTTCCCAGAACCCATATGGTAGCTTAGTATTGTCTACAACTCCAGTTCCAGAGCATCCCTATTCTGGTCTCCATTCGGACACCAAACACGCATGTGGTACACATGTATTCAAGCATGCACTCATCCACATAAAATAAAAATAAGTTCTAAACAAAAAAAAAAAAATGGAAGTCCCAAACTCGACCTAAGATGTAGTAAATCAGAATCTGCATTTTCAAAAGCTCCAGGTGGTTGGTGATGTTACAAATCTCAGAAGCACTGATCATGCGGTCATTAAAAAAAGAAGCAAAAGAAGATGTGCATTCACTTCCATTCTGCACTGGGGAAAAATAGGTAGTACAGCAGTGCAAGCTACCCTCTTGCCAGGGGAACAAGGGGACATGTCTTAGTCACTGTGCAGTGGCATCAGGACCAAGGCAACTCTTATAAAAGAAAGCATTTCATAGGGCTAGCTCATTCTTATCATGAGAAGATGCATACAGGCATGGTACTGGAGCAACAGCCAAAAAGCTTTACATCCTGACCCACAGGCAGCAGGCAGAGACAGACACTGGGCCTGCTGTGGTCTTTTGAAACCCAAAGCCCACCCCTGGGATGGATACATACAACATGGATACATCTACTCTGACAAGGCCACACCTCCTAATCCTTCCCAAACAGTTCATCACTGGGGACTGAGCATGCAAGTATGAGCATAGCATACGAGCCTATGGGGGCCATTCTCATTCAAACAACCACAGCCAATGAGGAAGTATTAACTTGCAGGCAATGGCTTAGGGATTAGTAGTAGCTGTTGGAAAGAAGGGTTGAGGTACTGCTTTGAAGAGGTACCCAGGTCTGACTAAGAATAGCAACCCTGAGTGTAGGGAAGCAGTCCTGAATGCTCATACTTTCATCTTTGCTTCAGAAGCCATTGAGATGGAATGGCTAAAAAGATGCCAAAGATGGAAAGCCTGATGACCCGCACTGTCACTGCCCTACCCAGGCTTCCCTTCAGTAGATAACTTACTTTAGGGTGAACCATGGATCGAACGTGTGATGGATATCACACCATTTTAATGGTGCAGCAAAGCTACTGTGAATTATTTTTAAAGTCATACCAAGAACTTTTAGGGAGCCTGAGTGTGTGAGTGTATGTACATGTTCCTCCAGAGTTGTGCATCTAGTTTTATTGAGACAAGATCTCTCATTGGCATCTAGGACTTACGAAGTAGGCTAGGCTGACTGGCCAGAGAGCCTCAGGGATTCTCTGTCCCTGCCTCTCCAGCAAAAATGTGCCACCACATCTGGAATTCTATGTTGATATTAGGGATCAGACTCAGGCCCTTATGCTGAAGTAGTAAGCGCTTTACTATCTCCCTAGGCCTCCTTATAAGTTTGTTCATTTGTTTGGTTTTTTGGGGGTTTTTGTTTGGTTGGTTTTTGACACATTCTATGTCCCAGACTAGTTCTGGGCTCACTGCAATCCTCCTGCTTCAGCTGTGGCTACGCATGTGCACTGCCACATCTGACCATATTTTAAAATATTCTGAAGTCAGAATAAAAGCAATTGTCTTGGTGTTATGCTCTATGCACACACTGCCTAAGTATCTTTTATAAGTGAGGGATATTCCATAAGTATCTGAATTGGTCTGAAAGTTTACTTCATGTAAGGAAATCATTCCCCATCTTTTATTCCCAAATACTTAAGGGAGAGGAAAAGGTCATGCATATGACGCTGTCATATAACACTACCCACCCAGTACAGCTACAATTGCTCACTTCTAGTATCTCAGGAAATTGAGAGATAATGAAAAGAGTTCAAAATCTGTAATCTATCACATCACCTCTAGGCCTTGTCCAAATCCATACCTCAATTCCTTCTGCTTAAAACAATAATTCTAGTCACTTCTGCCTCTTGATCTTGCTTGCTCAGTGTCCATGAGAGCTCTTAGATGGGACTATAAAAAGAGTTTCTTAGAATTCTCATCATAAGGATCACATAGGAAAGTTAGAAAGGAGAGCAAATGTCAGGTCAGTAACAGACTCTAGGAAAGAAAGCAAAAGCAGCCGCCACCGACCAGCCGTTACATAAGCCCTGCTCACAACAGTGTTTTAGTTTCTGGTTGGAACTACCAAGCTTTTTTCTTGAGACAAAATGAAGCTGAGAAGCCTCACAACGTAGAAATCTAATGTGCAGACCAAGTGGGCAGGGACAGAGGTCTCAGTTTCTTCCCTGGTGCCAGGGAAGCCCCTGCTGCGGTCAGTGCAGCTCAGCACTTCGGCACCTTCTTCTCCTCATGAACACGGGACAGGAGACTGGTGTCAAAGCCACAGTCCAGAAAGGGCTGTTAAGGTCCATGGTACACCAGTAAAACAACAAACAATAGGAGTAGAGAGGAGCCGGCGGCGGTGGTGGCGCACGCCTTTAATCCCGGCCCTCGGGAGGCAGAGCCAGGCAGATCTCTGTGAGTTCGAGGCCAGTCTGGGCTACAGAGCGAGATCCAGGACAGGCGCCAAAGCTACACAGAGAAACCCTGTCTTGAAAGAGTAGAAAGGAAAGTTGGGCCTACTGGCCCATGCCCTTAATCCTAGTGCTCAAGAGGCAGAGGCAGGCAAATCTCTGAGAATTCGAGGCCAGCCTGGTTTACAAAGTGAGTTCTAGGACAGCCAGAGCCGTTACACAGAGAAACCCTGTCTTGGAACCCCCCAACACACCCAAAAAAAAAAAAAAAAGAGTAAAAAGGATTAGTAATGGGTCCAAAATACAGTTAGATAGAAGATGAAGTGCTGAAGTGTTAATGTTGCAGCACATAGAAGGACAACAACACTACACACTATGCATTTCAAAAGAAAGAAAAGAGGATTTTGACTATTTCCAATACAAATGAGCACATGTGAAAATGATGGAGACGCTCATGATTTGACTGGATGCTAACACACTTATACCCAAGTGTCACACTGTAGTCCATAAACATGGACGCTTATTTTCTACCCACTACAACTGTAAGAGGAGGGCATTTTGTTGTGAGATTTCTCCTGAACCCCTGAAGAATCACACCAAAGCCTCCCTCTGCCAGCCCACTCCCACTCCCCACCCCCAAGTACAGAGGCCCCATACTCAGAGATTTGCACCAGTTGTGGGCTGAGAATTTTCCCTTGTTCTGGTGTCAATGACTTCTGATGTTAGAAACAGTTAAATTCATGTCTCTGAATTTAATTTTATTCTGAATTTTCTTTTTCTTTCCTTGGAAGATGAAATAACTGATTCCAATGAAACACAAGTCACGTCTCAGGAACCATGTGTTGCTAACTCAACATAACTCTCCCTTTGGGGAGAAGTTGCTTCATCAATTGTTTTTTACTTAGAAGACAAAATTATTTTTACTACTGGCCTCACACCAAATTAATTATGATTGTGAACTAGCCCCATATCTGCAACTTCTATCATGCTCTCCTTATTCCTCTAGTAAAATACACACAGAATTCTAAAGACAAGACTCTCTACTTGAAATTATCTGTTGCAATCAACTTCTCTGAGATATTTAGGTATTCCCAGAAAAGATCATCATTCCAATGAGGAGTTATTTAGGGGTCTCTTTTGTTCAGCCCAAGGCCCATTAATATAGAACATAGTGAAACATGCTAGAGAAAACATTAGCCACTACGTAGGAAAATCTGCAGGCTTTGGGTCTGTTTTCTGATGCTGCATATCTTTGTTTTGTTTTGTTTTGTTTTAAAGCCAGACAGGGTGATGCGCACTTTTTTTTTTTTTTTTTTTTTTTTTTCCGAGACAGGGTTTCTCTGTGTAGCTTTGTGCCTTTCCTGGGACTCACTTGGTAGCCCAGGCTGGCCTCGAACTCACAGAGATCCGCCTTGCTCTGCCTCCCGAGTGCTGGGATTAAAGGCGTGTGCCACCACCGCCCGGCGTGATGCGCACTTTTAATCCAAGCACAAGGAAGGCAGAGGCAGACGGATCCCTGAGTTAAAGCCAGCTTAGTTTCCGTAGTTAGTCCTGAGTCCACACAAGCTGTAGTCGGCCTTGATCCATCCCAGCCAGCTGCGGGTTACCCAACCAACGAATTCGTGTGGCTTTGGTTTCCGACATGCCTTAGGTGTAACCTAGGGGGTAGGGGCCCGACTCTAAGGACAAAGGAACCGCAGGTGCGGGAGGCTGCGGGCCCCACCTCCTCGGGCCCCTCTTGACCCCAGGGCGGGAGGAGGGGGATTGCTGTGGGGTGGCGAGCTGACTGCGGAGCTCCCCAAAGTGATGCTGCATATCTTAAGCCACAGTACTGTGCTGAGTTTCATGGTGGATAACGACTCCCTCCCCACTTAAAATACCACCATTACTGAAAAGCAAACTGCTACTAGCAACATTTCCTCACATTTCTAAACCAAACCTCTTTGCTTAAGACCTATTTCTGGATTCTCACATGCAGAGCACCTTATGGATGACTAGTGACTCGGGAGGTAATTCACTGAGTGAAGGGTTATCAAACTATAAATTCCCAAAGCCAAGTTCACTCCATATCAGCAAAGGAAGGAAGCTCATTAGCTGAAGGGTTGGGGAAATGCCTGAGAACTAATGAGGTCAAGGGGAAAGGATCTCGGATATTTCTGTCTTGATCTGCAAGAAGAAATACATACCTAGAAACAACTGCCATCAAAATTCTGGACAATAAAACATTGCACAAACTCAAAACAAATACAGACTTTTGACAATTATTCCAAAGTTAAATCGGCTCACTCAACTGAGGAGTCTGTCTCACAGTTTTGCAGAAATAGAAAACCAAAGTTTTCTCTGCTTAAAAATCCAGAGAAAACA